ACTAAAAGCTTTTGTATGACTGATGTTTTGTGTTCAACTGCAGCTGAGTTTTTACGAAGTGCGCAACAAGGAAATGACGCTCCAACTGCGATGATTTGAGTCCTTAAAGTCTCCAAAAGCTTCGAATAAAAAAAATATTCACTATTTTATTTTCCAGTCCATATCATTCATCTGACGCCGATCGGTCTTTCTGATGGTGGCTGTGCAGTCCAGAGGGCCGGCTGTCGCTCAGAGGTAGAGTGAATCGTCCACTTATCGTAAGGTCGGCGGTTGGATCCTCAGAAGTGACTCCCGATCTGTGTTCGTGAGCCTCAGACGGTTCAATGCGGGTTTATATACAGTCGCAATCCGGGTAGGATGGATGAGTGGGTGTGAGCCAATCACAATGTTGCTGAGAATCTCCCTGATTGGTTGTAAATACAGGTGGGCGGAGCTGAGAATCTCCCCGATTCCATGAAGTCATGTGACTTATGGCGTATGGGCGGAGTATTGCTTTTCACTTCATGGTGACCTGAAAAAAAATAAAAGCATATATATAGATATATGTATGTATATCTATATCTATATCTATATATATTTTGATATATGGGTTCAGATTAAAATCGTGCTCGCGTTTCTGTGGACAGAATCCACAATGCTGTTCTTGTATTGTATTTATCAAAGGCAAACTAATAGACGTGTGTGTCCATGTTGGTCAAGCATGTCATATTTGTACATGATGAACAACCATGTGTGTAATGTATGCAACTTCAGAAAGTCTTTAAATGTATATTTCCTCCAAGAACCTGAATAACTATTCCAGATTGACCAAAGCATGCATCACACATTCTCAATCATATTTCATAAAGTGGGGCAAGGAACAGAAATACCTAAAACACTTTTTCAACACTTGAATGCATATTTAGTTCCTCAATATAATGTTATAACATTGTCTTTTATTTATGACAGATTTATATCCTCAACATTAATCTGGTCAGAATCCTAAAACACTGAAAAGTGTCCTTGGCTCCAGTCCTGCTGACTGGATTTAGTTAGAACAGGAAATAGACACACAGGAGTTTAGGTGTCCCACCTCAGATGATAATGCATTCAAAAAACGATTTTAAAGAAATGGGATGCCACAGGAGTCTGTCCTTGGTTCTTTGCTGTTTATTTTGTACATCAATAACAGCAGTTCAGCAGTTAAACCCTGTGTATCTCAGTCCATTACGCTTTATCACTAATGACTAATCTTGTACCCATCACTGTTCTCTGTATCAAAGGGTTGGATGGACTTACTGTCAACTAGAAATATCCATCCCATGTTATTCATTTATAAAGCTCTACTGTTCTAAAGCTTCCAAACTACCTTACATCTCTACTGTCATTATAACGATCCAGTAACTACCTAACCTTCCACATCCCTCGTTAGCACTAATAATGCCACATCTGGTTTCTTGTCCTTATAAACTATATAAACAGTTTAAAACTAAATGGTAAGCCTGAAATGATATCAGATCTGATCAAATGAATTTGTATTTCACAATATATATCCATCATTATTTCTTCCAGACATTGATCTAAGTACTGTAGATAGCCTGTAGCTCCATTAGAGGACCTCCTACTTTTGAGTGTTTTTAATACATATAAATAATATTCTGTTCTTTTTTACTGAGTAACCATCAAAGATGTTGGATTGAACTCTCCATGTCCTCTTCAGCCAGCAGCAACACAGCTCAGTGAACACCTCCATCCTCATGTTGTCATGTTTCCTGCTTATGTAGTTAACTACTGGCGCCATCTTGTGGCAGAAATACATTACTGCAGTTTATCATCAGCATCAACACTGTACCTAGACTATAAATACAAAGGAGTATTGTAATGACTACAGACAGACTGTAGATGTTTGTTCTGGTACATGTGAGGACTGAACTTTGACCTCATGTGTTTATGACTCTTCACCGCTGTCTCCTCTCATAGGGAGAAGATGATCTGCTGGATCCTGCTGCTCATCACCCTGACCTCCTGTGTCTGTGGTTAGTTTCCACCTTCACTTTATTATCCATGAAGAGAAAAGTCCAAATACACTTTCAGACTTCCATCTTTCAATCTGTAAGGAGGAAGGCCTCTACAGCACTGAGAGCATCACTAAACTGTCCACAGAAACATCTCTAGATGGAGTTTAAAGGCTCACATGTTAAAGTTGTCACTTTGTCTGGTCCTCACTTTCCCTCTCTGTCTCCTCAACAGGAACATTTGTAGTGAATGTGACACAGACCTCCTATCAGGCAGAGGAGAACCATAACATCACACTGGAATGGACGTTCACAACCAACACTGACAGTTCCCTCAACTTCCTTTATATCTGCTGTCTACTGATTACTGATCACAAGGTTTCAGTCCTCTATAATCTACTTAAAGGTGGCGAGGTCTCAGAGTCTCAGGATGAACAGTTTAAAGGACGAGTCCAGTGTGACAAAGACGTCCTCAGAGAAGGACGAATCAGACTTCATGTGTCCAGACTCAGGACTGAAGACTCGGGCCTGTACCTGTGTAAAGTGAGAACAACTTATGGCTTGAGCTCTGCCAGATGTGGACTCAACGTCACTGGTAAGTTGATTCATTAGAAGGTTTTTATCAGATTAATTTCAGTTTTTAATGAACAGAAAAGTGCTGCTGATATTCTACTGCAGTTATCAGTGTGTGGGCTGCTGAACTAGCCTCTATAGACACATCAACAGTTGATGACTCAGACAAACACGTCTGTCTGTTTAAGAACATACCTGCTACACATACGTCCTCATGAGGTTCCACACATAAGTTTGCAGTGTTTGAACTGTGTGACCTTAAAGGACCTGAGAGTAGGATTTAATGACATCACATCACATTGACGCCATCTGGTGGTAATAACAAGCAAAAACATACATCATCAAACTCATTTTAAAAAAGCTACTATTCCTATTCTGCCATTTCTAAACTAATAAAAACTCCTTCAAGAGGCATGTTAGAAATATAATAACAGACAATGCTGTAAATAAATGAACATTCTTTAACTTTACTTTAATCTGTTGGTTATTTAGTTTTCTTCTTCAGTAAAATGTTTTCTGATCAAATGAATAACAGACACATATTTGTTTGATCTCTTTACAGCAGACAAACAACAACAGAGACAACCGCCACCAAACCAGGGAACAACTAGCTGCTGCTGTACATTAGCTCTGGCTGTAGTACTACTGTACTGCTTTACTTTTTATTTCCTGTAAACTCTCCACAACAACTGTACAAACACTACAGCCGCGCAGTGCTTTGAGCTAAATGCTCACAATGAAAATTATAACATAATGTTTACCATGGTAACCATCTTCTTTAGCATGTTAGTTTGCTGATTAGCACCTTTACAGTCGAGGAGAAGAAGAAGAAGAAGATATACCGTTATCCATCCTCACTCTATGGGGATGTTTGTTTACACACATAGGCCAAACTACAATCAGAGATGCCAGGTGAGACAGCAGTTCACCAGGACCAGGACCAGGACAAACAAGGCCAGAGGTCCCGATGACGTCAACCAGAGGGTCCTGAAGGTGTGTGTGGAGAAACTGGCAGGAGTGTTCCAGCATCTGTTTGACCTCTCCCTGAGATCTGGAAGACTTCCTGCTTAGTTCCTGCTCCCAAGAAAGGACGTTTCAGCGACCTCAAAGACTTCAGGCCTGTAGCCTCAACGTCACATGTTATGAAGACCTTTGAAAGACTGGTTCTGCAGTACCTCAGACCCCTGGTACACTGCCTGGACCCATTGCAGTTTGTGTACCAGGCTGACATCGGCGTGGATGATGCCATCATCTACCTGCTTCACAGAGCTTACACCCACCAGGAGAAGCCACAGAGCACCGTGAGGGTCACGTTCTTTGACTTGTCCAGTGCCTTTGCCACCATCCAGCCTCTCTGGCTGACAGAGAAGCTCTCTGGGATGCCGGTGGATCAGGACCTTGTGGCCTGCTGACTAAGACTGGTTTAAACTCCAACCTACAATGCACAAACTTTTTGCACTATTTATATTTAATTTCTACATGTACAGTTTATTCTTTGTCAAGCTGCTCAAATATTTGCACACTATTCTTACTTGAATATTGCATAGTATATGCGTATATACTTTCATTTATAGTCTTATATTTTCTATTATAGTTTATATGATTTTATTTTGTGATGTCTTATTGTACCTCCACTTCTGTACCTTTTTTTTTTTGCACTACATTCCCCAATGCTGCTGTGTCAATTTTGAATTTCTCCAAAGGGGGATCGATAAAGGAATATCTTATCTTATCTTATCTTATCTTATCTTATCTTAGACACACACAGGGCTTATAGATATGCAAATGTGGAGAGATGGTGGAATGATGGGCTGCCACGTAGCGGCGCTCCTGGAGTTGAAAAAACTTGTCGCATTACAGTGTACTCATAAAAGTTTCATTGTTTCAACTAGTTTTTCCTCATAGATGAAGTCGGACTCGTTCTTCTCTGAGGGCGTCTTTGTCAAACTGCACCCCAACTTTATTTTAAACTTTATTGTGAATTTTGATATAAAAGTGCAGCAATAAAAAACATACTACCATGTTTTTTTGTCCAGTATTGATTAATGTGCCGATTATGTTTTCATTTAATCTTTTGTTTTACTCATAAAAAGTCAGAAAATTGTGAAAAAAGCCTCTCTCAGCCACCTAAAGTACAATGTGACGTCTTCAAACTGCCTATTTCTGCTCATCAAGTGTCCAAAACACAAAGATATTCAATTTAAAATGATATAAAACAGAGAAAAGTTCCTCACATTTTCAATACTGGAACCACAGAGTTGTTCGCACTTTTGTTCCTAACGGATTTCAATTGTTGTTAATTAAGTTTCTTTTAATCAACAGATCAATTAAACCAGTTTGACTATTTAATGCAGGTAGGTGAGTATATTTGGAGCAATTCACTGTGTACTTGCATCAGCTCAGATTCACACAGATAAAACCCAGAGGAGGAGCTTTAGTCACATGATTTTATTTATTTTATTCTTTATTTCTCATAGAACTTTAAAGCCCCTGTCCTCTTCAAACTCAATGATATTAAAGCCATCAATCAACAGTCAGAATGTCCTCACAGTTACAAACAGAAAGATAAAGAGTTGTCTGAAAATCCTTGAACAAGCTTAATCAGTACAAACAAGGTTCATACATGAAATGAATGAAAATATTATCATTAAATGTTATCAATTAAATTACATACAAATATATGGAAAACAAAATCCACTGAAACAAGACGACTTTAAACTTAAAGTAAAGAGCTCCCTCTGCTGATCTTCATCCTTAATAGCAGTGTGAACAACTCAAAGCTTTTCTTACAGCACACATACAATGAAAGAATTATAATCAGTAACACAGTAAATAACAGCAAAAATAAAACAGTAACAGTACATTTCAGTTTAAATTGCACATTACAAGAAAAGGTTAAAGCTTTTACACTACATGCCACATTCACCCTTTCACACACATTCACACAGTGATGGCAAAGCCCCATGAACTCATTCATTCACAATAAAAATTTGGGGTGCCGTATCTTGCTTAAGGACACTTCGACATGCAGTAAGAGGAGTCAGGGATGGAACCAACAACCTTCTGATTAGTGGACCACAGAACACATCAGAACAGGCAGATCTGAAGGATCTTTAGTGAACCTGAACACTTCATTACATCCTGCAGGAGTCAGCTACATGATCCATAGAATATAAAGAAAAATATATTTTATCTTGAATAAATTCCTCACATTGAGCTTTAAATACAAAAGGTTAAAAAAGAGAATTTTCATAGATTATACATGGTATATGAGGTAGACATGTTTATCTTGTATCTCAGCCAACGAGAAACTACTATGTAACAAAACTGTGATCAAATTGTTTCCTCTGATCCAGATGCTGAGCTCTAACTGTTCTCACATCCACCACTGGACTCTGAGTAAAAATCTCATTCTCTAGACAGACAGTGAATGAATAAAAGGCAACGAACAACCAGCAGAGCTGCTGTGTAGTCAGGTCACAGTTGATAGAAAGAGTGTTGAGGGAACTGTCAGTGTTGGTTGGGAACGTCCATTCTAGTGTGATGGATAGGAGGTTGGGTCACATTCACTACGACTGGAAACCCGACTGGAGGGGCTGAGTCAAGTCCATGTCTCCTATCTTCCGTGTTCAAACCGTGTCGTCCAGGTCCTAAAGACAGGAGTAGTGGACAGGTGTCCAGAGATTTAAAGCGACCAGATAGCTGAGCCAACAGGCTAGCTAATAGCAGTCGGGGCAGTCCAACAGACACATATCCAGTTTACAACTCTCTTGACTTCAGGTCTGAAAGCCAATGGCGACAGACTTTTAACCAGTTAAAATATACAGGATAAAACAATCAGGATCAAAAAACGTCTCAATTGTCCTCCAAGGTGAGCCATTACCAACGATCTGATGGCTCACTGCGACCGAAAGAGGGTCCTCCAGACAGAGTACTGTTAGTCCTGATGGGTTGTTTCTCTAAGAAACTCAACATCTATACAGCTACAGAGACGTTTCCTTTCTTATCAGCAGATTTAGTAAAACAGTGACAGGAGGCAGAGCAGAGTCCGACACAGACAGCCAGTAGAACTGCTGTCAGTCCAACATAGAGGCCGATCCTTCCCCGTCTCTCTGGTTGTGGACTCTCTGGTTGTGGTCTCACTGTTGGTCTCTGAGGTTTGGCCTCTACAACAGCTGCTGCAGAAAACAAAATTAACAATGACAAGGGTAATCGGCACAGAGATAAGAAAAACTACAAATAAATACATAAGATGTGTTTAGTTCTAAGCTCCACTGTTCCTAAGTACAGCCTCACAGAGCAGCTAGGATGGCTGTAGACTCTCAGTCTTGTTCTACTCACTGAGTTCTACTGAATTAACTCACCAGTGACACTGAGTCGACATTCACTATAGCTCACACCATAAGTTGTGTTCACTTCACACAAGTACAGGCCCGAGTCTTCAGTCCTGAGTCTGGACACATGAAGTCTGATTTGTCCTTCTCTGAGGACGTCTTTGTCACACTGGACTCGTCCTTTAAACTGTTCATCCTGAGACTGTGGGACCGTGACACCTTCATGTAGATAATACAGGACTGAAACCTTCTGATCAGTAATCAGTTCACAGTAGACAGAAAGAGAGTTGAGGGAACTGTCAGTGTTGGTTGTGAACGTCCATTCCAGTGTGATGTTATGGTTCTCCTCTGCCTGATAGGAGGTCTGTGTCACATTCACTACAAATGTTCCTGTTGAGGAGACAGAGAGGGAAAGTGAGGACCAGACAAAGTGACAACTTTAACATGTGAGCCTTTAAACTCCATCTAGAGATGTTTCTGTGGACAGTTTAGTGATGCTCTCAGTGCTGTAGAGGCCTTCCTCCTTACAGATTGAAAGATGGAAGTCTGAAAGTGTATTTGGACTTTTCTCTTCATGGATAATAAAGTGAAGGTGGAAACTAACCACAGACACAGGAGGTCAGGTTGATGAGCAGCAGGATCCAGCAGATCATCTTCTCCCTGTGAGAGGAGACAGCGGTGAAGAGTCATAAACACATCAGGTCAAAGTTCAGTCCTCACATGTACCAGAACAAACATCTGCAGTCTGTCTGTAGTCATTACAATACTCCTTTGTATTTATTATCCTGATTATTACACACAACTGGCCAAAGCATTTCCTCACTGCACACCAAGACTCAATGCTGATGATAAACTGCAGTAATGTATTTCTGTCACAAGATGGAACCGGTAGTTAACTCTACACTATGGCAACAAATGGATCAAGATGTTCGCTGAGCTGTGTTGCTGCTGGCTGAAGAGGACACGGAGAGTTCAATCCAACAGTAAACAAAGAACAGAATATTACAGTATATTAACTTAGATTCAGTTTTGTGAATATGGAAGGACTGTTCAGCATCCTACATTGTGAACCTTGCAGCTTGAATATAATAAACAACATACAAATGTAGGTGTCGAACAGTGGCGTGCACAGACTTTTTGAAGGGCAGGGGCGAAAAAAAAAAAAGGGCACTTTAGCACACATTTTTCAACAATTGGGCCACGAGCCCCCCCCGTGCACGCCACTGGTGTCGAGTAATTGACATAATCATATTGCCTTTAACAGAGTCTACACAAAGGTACTCCTCTTGGAACAAATGTCTGTATGTGTTTTAATCTCTTGCGATTTATGAACTGCAATGCTTTTTATATCTCTATACATCTCTATCCCTAGACATAAAGTTTAAGAATGAATTTAAATTACCATACAAAATAGACATATACAAATATGAAAACACTAAATACAAACAGCCTCATGTTGTAATGATCTGTGTCACAATAACACTGCCTCTCAATAACAGTGCATCATATTCTATAGGCTGATCATGAAATCTTCTTTAAAGTAGGTTATCAGTCAAGCAGGGGAGTAAAAAGTAGCATAAATATGTTGCAATGTGATGATAACAGACCTATGACATGTTATAAAGGTTTGTTACTATAAGTGCAGCTGTTACTGCAGGTGTTTAATGGCACACAGAGTCGCGTTAATGTGGATGAGATGATCAGTGGCTGTCACTGAATGGATCACAACTGTTGTAAATCTTGTTTTCATATAATAATAATAATAATAATAATAATAATAATAATAATAATAATAATACCATCATGAATAAATAGGCTACATTACCTTGTATGTCTTCAGCCTCATGAGCACGAAAAGCCGCTTCACAAGATGATCTCGTATAGTCCGATCCATCAGCATTGTCACCAACATGAAACCCCCTTCAGACTACAGGGATTCTTCGAAAGCACAAGCACGCCTCCTTTACTAGCCTTCTGAGAAAGGCTGAACCATTTCAGCATTACAGGGGCCCTCGAAATACTACACGGCCATAGAACATGAATTATCTGAGCAAATTATGTATTATAATATGTAAGCCTCTTGTTAGTTCAGAAATAAAATTGATGTAGTTTCTTGCTAAAATCACCCAGGAAGCCCTTCACACCCCTCACTACAAACATGGTTCAGTCCTGTGTGGTATCGACCACAGCTGACTGAAGGGGAGTTAGGGAAACTTCCCCCACTGATCTCAGCCTGCCAATACCAATGTGTAGGTACTGAGTGGCGGATCTGCTACTGACCTCAGATCAGTGTGATGCTGTACAGCTGCAGTAGGAGGTGAAAAGATGAGACATTCTTAACACAATGTGCCACAGCAATAGAAATACAGTGTTTCACTGCTTGTATAGAGAATTGACACTTTATCACCTTGTAGGTTAATCCCTCCGTCTTCTATGATCCCTAAATCTTCCTTGAGGGAATATGACTAAATTGACTAAAGCTAAAGAAAGGTGTCATTAGAAGAAGCAACTGTAACAGGAAATGTGGTGGTTGGTTTCCTGTTGTTTGCTGTCTAAGATATTTCTAGGAAGTTTGGAGAGCAGTTTCTAGGTAATCTGGGCCCAGTTTTTACCTGAGGTCAAAGATGATAACAATCACCTAAAATATATTTTCAATATTTTTATATTATCATTACTGTACATTTTGCATGACTTTGTTTTCCAAAAAATACATTTCAATTGAACAAGTTCAAAAAACTTTTATTATTTATCTGCAATCACAGACATAATGTATTGTACAAGTATTTCATGTGCATAGATAGATAGATAGATAGATAGATAGATAGATAGATAGATAGATAGATAGATAGATAGATAGATAGATAGATAGATAGATAGATAGATAGATAGATAGATGAGGCAAATCTTAAGTATATAACTAAAACTAAAATACTCTACACACATCAAATCTAATTCAGACTGAATACATACAATGTGTTAAACTTTCAAAAGTCCAAAGGAGAATCAAAGAATTAATTATTGTTCAGCTGTCACACTGAAGCACCATCATTATTCTAGGAGGCACCATGAAAGAATATGAGTGTGACACTGAGATCATATGCACAAAGAATGAGTTTGTAGGAAACTCTTCAGTAGTCTCTGAGGACCAGTGTGTAGGATTTAGTGGCATCTAGTGGCGAAGCTGCAGAATGCAAACAACTGAACACTCCTCGCCCTCCACTTCCAAGAGAGAGAAACTTTAAAAGTGGTGAGAAACACAAACGGCCTCGTGTAGAGCCAGTGTTTGGTTTGTCCGTTCTGGGCTACAGTTCAGTTCAACATGGCAGAAGAGGACCGCATCTTGGCTAAAATGTACACCTTGCAGGTCATAAAACAATCTTCATTTAAACTCGACATAAATAAAAACAATTCCACCAAAATGTTCTTTACATTGTTCCAACAACAATCACCAACTCTGCATTGGCTGAAATAAACCCTTAATTCACAGAGGTAGATGAGAAACACCATCAGTTTCACATGGAGACACTCACATACACTAACAGGCACAGAACAGTAAACAATGCTATTACTCCACTATATATTTACACAGCAAATAGTTGTTTGCTGCTATATTCATTTTATAAATCTCATACATACGTACACACGCACAAAGTACAAAAGGGAATCGAAGATTTAACTTCAATCATCACATTTATGCACCATTGTTATTCCCAGAGGTAGCATGGTAGAATATTAGTCTCTTTTTATTGCTGTACGGCCACTGGGACAGATTATCAATCTCTCTTAATACATCCAACTTGCAGTCAAGGCACAGATTCATAAAGACTGCATGACATCACCACTGTGTTTAACAGGTGGGGAGGCCCAGTGGGTTAAGGTCTGAGGTTTGTACTTACAGCAGATGTTACTGAATGACCATAAAATGTTTCACTGTGGTTCTGCTGGACACTGGTGACTCTTGGTGCAACCAGATTACACACATAAATAATAACAATGTCCAGAATACATGTAACATTAACAGCAGCCTGAGGAAGAGATAGAGTAGTGATGTGGAATGGACTACTGCATTACATTAACATAGCAGTATGGCCAAAGTGCAAACATCAAAAGACAGGATGGCCTAAACATTAATATAACAATAAAATAACCTTGGTAATAGGAGGTAGTAAGAGCAATATAAAAAAGGGTGGCTTCAACTACACACACATTCACTGATTATTCACTTAACAGGTAGAGGTAGAACAAATAACTTCCGTGTTGTGTTGAGTTCACTCTTCCACACGAGGTATTTAAACATTGATCAAAAGTCCAATAAGGACTGAAACTGCTGCTGGTAATACTGTACACAAACCAAAATAGGGCGCGATCCTCCCCCGGCTCGCTGGCTTTGACGGCTCGTTCATGGTTCGATCGCTGCCTGCTGCAAAGAGATTAAACAAATGAGTCACTGTGTGCAGATTTCTCTTTACATTAAATAAAAGAATAATGAACATTATGTTATTGGATTATTATTGCATTAAAACATAGGCATTCATTTAAGTAGCTGGTAGAATAATAGATCATCATTTGTTTGTTGATTTTTTATAGTTACTTACTGTGTTTGCTGTCTCACTTTGTGTCAGTTCTCATGTGAACAGAGCGACTGTGTCTCTGCACAGCAACCAATGGGACTGATTGATTGCTATAGCTGTCAATTTTAGTCCTTGAGTTCATAGTTACGTGCTTTATTTGTTAACTGCTATAAGGAATATAACTCTCCTTTGTAGTATGCATGAGAGGAGATGCTGCGAGATTTGTGGACTTCTATGTAGTGTCTGCTGATAATGTAGTGGGCTGGTCTGGACACAAAATGCCAGGGCTGAATTTTTGGCCCAGTCCACCCCTGTCTCCGCCTCTTCACCTCCTCTCTCTCTGATTGGTGTTGAACAACAGGCTAACAAACGGACCACCAACCATGAGGAGCAGAGGCGTGTCAACCAGTAAACAACACGCCTTTCATGAATCTCTGCTGAATCATGTTCTGTGGAGCAGAAACATGATGATCGCCTCTGCTGAATCATGTTTTCAGGAAAGGCGTGTTGCTCAACACCAATCAGAGAGAGAGGACGTGAAGCGGTGGAGAGGATGCATTACAGTATCTTTGGAGCTTGGAACAAGGGAGAGGTGATGGTCACCCGTTTGTATGAAGTGCAGCCAACCAGGTGAGTAATGAATCTATATTGATGTTGGTGTTAATCAGGAGTTAACTTCAGTTGTAAAGGTTGAGTCTGTATATTTGAATAGAACAGCAGGAACAGCTGCACGTTTAATACCAACAAACTGTTTCCAGCTTCTATTATCGCTCCGTGTTCTTCTACATAGTTCAAGGGGAAAACTATATTTATATATATATGATTCTTATATTGTAAGATCTGACAACTGCATCGTTGTTTGTGTTTATTTGTTGTTTTGTCATTCATCTTGGTAAATGTTAAATGGACAGGCGTCTTTTCACATGATGCCCCACCTTAAAAGCCATGTGGTAGGCTATACGACAAAGTAAACCGGTTTAACGCCCTGAAGTTACCTAACTCTTTCAGTTCACGGTGTTTTCTAGTAGTTCTTCTAGTTTTCTATTGCTACTTTTAAGTTTACTGTTCCCTTTTTTGGTTTGACTGGTT